CCCAAGTAGCTGGGACCACAGGCACGTGCCACCACACCCAGCTACATTTTTGTATTTTTAGTAGAGACGGGGTTTCATCCATGTTGGTCAGGCTGGTGTCAAACCCCTGACCTCAGGTGATCCACCTGCTTCAGCCTCTCAAAGTGCTGGGATTACATGCATGAGCCACCATGCCCAGCCTTGTAACCTGTGGCAATTGTAACCTGTCCTTTGCTGAGTACCTGCAGTGCACCAGGCCTTAGGCTGAACAATATGCCACGTCTCCTGCGGGACCATGCTAGGTTCCCACAGGAGAGAAATACTTAGGCTCTCAATTAGAAGAGCATAAAACAACACTGGCACACCACACACATGCAATTACTAGAACTTTAAATAGGCTTAATCAATAGCCAAGCATTGTTGGTACAAGGCAATTACAGGAAAATGCCAATTTACAACACTGGGTGTGATTTTTAAAAAAAAAAAAACCAATGTGTCCAATGTTCAGTCAAGCATAAGAATGCTTTTTGTACATGCAGCACAATATTTGCAGAAGACAATGGTAAGTCTCTACTGGCCAAACATGCAAGATGGATAAAAAGTAATGAAATAAACGATCGATGTCAGGGATGGAGGAACCAAAGGATATTAATAATTTAATGGACAATGGACAATAAAGTGAAAAAAAATGATACACAAAATGCTTTTTAAAAGTAAATAGTGCTGGGCACAGTGGGTCACACCTGAAATCTCAGCACTTTGGGAGGCTGAGGTGGGCAGATCACTTGAGGTCAGGAGTTCGAGACCGGCCTGGCCAACATGGTGAAACCCCGTCTCTACTAAAACTACAAAAACTAGTCAGACATGGTGGCAGGCGCCTGAGGTACCAGCTACTCTGGAGGCTGAAGTAGGAGAATCGCTTGAACTGGGAGGCAGAGGTTGTAGTGAGCTGAGATTGTGCCATTACACTCCAGCCTGGTCAACAAAGTGAGACTCCGTCTCAAAAAAAAAGGAAGTAAATAAGACTCAAGTCAGTGAGTATGAGGGAAGAAAAGTCCCATTGAATGACTAGCATTATAGACAGTATTGATCTACAGAAGAAGAAATTAAGAAAGTTGATATAACAGAGTAATTCCGTCAGATTTACATTTGTTCTAAAAATGCAGTCTTTAAGAAGTAGAAAACCTATCTTCAGTTTTAGGCATTGATTTCAAAAGCTGCCATGGGCAAGCTTGTGATAACAGTGTAACATGTTTGGTAAGTCTGCAGAAGGCAGAATAATGGCTCCCCAAAGATGCTCACATCCTAATTGCCAGAACCAGTGAATATGTTAGGTTACCAAGCGTCCCCAAACTATGGTCCCGCGGGCCACATGCGGCCCCCTGAGGCCATTTATCCGGCCCCCAGCCGCACTTCAGGAAGGGGCACCTCTTTCACTGGTGGTCAGTGAGAAGAGCACAGTATGTGGTGGCCCTCCAATGGTCTGAGGGACAGTGAACTGGCCCCCTGTGTAAAAAGTTTGGGGACGCCTGCTCTAATGTACCCAGGTCTAGTTTTGAACACAAGGAAGACTAAATATTGTGAGGCATGCACACAAGTTCTGCCTTCTGAAGCAAGAGAGAAACTGCCCTTTTCCATGAACAATCTATCAGCCAGGAACGCACCAAGGATTACAACTCTGATGATGCAGGGAGGTGGACACACCATCCCCTATTGATGGCTGAGGCCCAGACAGGGTAGTGAAGTGGCCCAGGCCACACAGCTGGCTGCTACACAAAAGGAGAGGCAGCTGAACAGAGCAGCCTGCAGAGGTCCAACCAACAGCTGAAGGAGCAGCCACCTGTCACTCCATAAAGAAGGAAGCTAGAAAGGGGAGCACAGGGTGGGCAGAGGAAAGCCTTCTTTAAACAGAAATCACGACAAGTGAAGGTTGCATCTGCTGAGGAGAATAAAGAGAAAGGGTCTGTGGATGGGACGTGGTGGAAGAGGTGGGGAGGGGTCAGGTTGGTGAAGATGGTGAATACCAGTCCAGGGAGCCAGGGTTTGAGTCTGTGGACAGGGCTTCTGAAGTCTCCTGCCAGCGTGCTCTACCCCTCAAGTGCTCTAGAGAGCCTAGGAGAGAATGGGAATAATGACAACCAGCATTATTGACTGTTCACCACGTGCCAGGCACTACACTTGGGTTATCTGATTTAATTCTCACAACCCCAACAGGCAGTCATTATTGTCATTCCCATTTTACAGATTTTTGCTGAAGTAGAGAGATTAGCTTGCTGGAGGCCCCTCCAAAAACCAGGTACTGGAACCCCTAGAGCCCACCAAAGGTAAGTTTTAACAATTGTACGAAGTCTCCTATTTTAAATACTCACGTAAAGTGTGTATTTCTTCTTTAATACACATGCATCTGTTTTATTTTTATTTTTATTTTTTGAGATGGAGTTTCACTCCTGTTACCCAGGCTGGAGTGCAATGGCATGATCTCAGCTCACCACAACCTCCGTCTCCTGGGTTCAAGCGATTCTCCTGCCTCAGTCTCCTGAGTAGCTGGCATTACAGGCATATACCACCATGTCCAGCTAACTTTTTACCTTTAGTAGAGACAGGGTTTCTCTCTGTTGGTGAGGCTGGTCTTGAACTTCCAACCTCAGGTGATCCACCCACCTCGGCCTCCCAAAGTGCTAGGATGACAGGTGTGAGCCACCGCACCTGACCACATCTCTTTTAATACTATTGAATGTCTTTCTTTGCCCCAAATCCTCAGGTGAAACTACCCTCCAGGTAGAGGCACTGTATTTTCTCTATGGCTTCATAAACCCTGGGCATGATGCCCAAAAACCCAATAGTGGATGCTGGAGCCCAAGGAAGATTTTGAAGCAAATAGTGGTTGCAAGGGGTGGTGTTGGCTTTCTGCCTCTAGCTAGTGCCATTTCACTAAAAGATATTATCATCCCCATAATGTACAAAAAACTGGACAGAGAGGACCTGTTCATCTTTCTCCCTTAGCCTCTGTTAGGGTTGTCCAGCCCTGACATTCAGGATCTCCATGCATTCAGATTCCCAGCAGGTTACCCAAAGGACCTACCAATACCACTCTGGCCCCTTCACTTCCTTCCTGGGGACATACTCTGAGCCCAACCCTGACCAAAATGTCCACAAAGATGTCTAAGCAGACTCCCATAACCCCTACCCACAGGAGGCTCCCCACCCCCCACCCATCACCACCTGTCCCGTCACCTCCCATCTCCGGGCCTTTGCTCACACTGCTCCTTCCGCCTGGAATGTTCTCCCCATCTCCACAATCCTGTCCACCCCTCAAAATCTGTCTTACAGATCACCCACTTCATGGAAACCTTCCCTGATCCCTTCCTCCCTGATATAATTTGGCTCTGCATCCCCACCCAAATCTCATCTTGAATTGTCATTCCCACAATCCCCACATGGTGGGAGGTTATTGGATCGTGGGGTTTGTGTCCCCCAAACTGTGAGTTCTCACAAGATCTGATGGTTCTTTAAGTGTCTGGCTGTTCCTCCTTTACATCACCCTCTCTCTCCGTCTCGCCTGCTGCTATGTAAGACATGCCACTTCCCTCATGATTGTAAGTTAACCTGAGGTCTCCCCAGCCATGAGAACCGTGAGTCAATTAAACCTCTTTTCTTTATAAACTACCCAGTCTCAGGCAGTTCTTTACAGCAGTGTGAGAATGGACTAACACACTCCCCCATGATGGAAGTGAACAGTCCCTTCTCTGAAACAGTCACACTGTCTTAAGATAGACCCCAACCTACTTTAGGAAAATTTCTTGTGCACATTTAAACATCTTCCTGACCAACACATGAGCCATGCAAGGACAGGATTTGTATGTAATTATTCTCTGAATCCCTTGCACATGGTAGGCAGTCAATGCAAATTTCATGAGGAGATAAATTCAAGAATCACACTGTATACCCACTAATCACAGCTGCTAATGCTCTGTGGATAGAACCAACTAGCAAAGTGCCCCAGGAAGAGAAGGTGATGACCCTGTGAGAGCAGAGGCAGGCGCTCTGCCCAGTGTCATTGGAGCTGGCCACACGTGTAGCTTGCGTATCAGTTGCCACATTCCTCAGCTCACCCCACCAAACAGCTGTGCCTCACTTACGGTTTTCCCCCCACCATCTTCCTGGAATCACTGGGCTTCACAGGCTTTGGGTTTGCCAGTTTCCCCCTCAACCTTCCATTGGTGATGTTGAGTTTATTTAGGAATTATTTTTCTGGGGCAAGTCATAAGTGCTTGGCCACCAGCCAAGTAGAAAGGGGCTCTCCTGCACTCTGTCATGTCTTCCCAATGAAACCCCCCACTGTGAAATAACACCCACTCTTCTTAGTCAAAAAGGAAGGAAATTTGACATCAACAAAGGGGTGCAACGTAATGCTGTTTCCTTTGCAAGGGAAGGAGGAAGTGCACCGGTTCTTGGAAGCACACAGCCAGACTCACCTGTGGCTTACTAAAGCAGGCAATAAGTCTCATGTATTTCAGGATACCTGCCTATGAGCTCCCAGGCCCATGAGTCCACTAAATGGCAGTGCTAAGGCCCATTCAACAACCTTCCCCATCTCCCCAGTGCAGAACTGGCCTGGGCTTCCTGCAAGTAACAGGGACAGGCAGAGCCCAGCCCTGGGTGCCTATGCCCACAGCCTGCTTTCAAGCACCCATAGGAGACTCCTAAAAAAAAATAAACCTCCTACCCAGCCAATTGCTGCTGGCTTCATCTCTTCAGCTTGAATTTCAGTAATGACTTTGCTTCTGGATAAAACACAGATGTCGCAAGGAAGGGTTACAACTTAAACGATTTTGGGGCCACTTCCATTTCAAGGTGGGTGGGGGCAGTAGGAGGCTGTAATATCCCCCAAGGAAGTGTGGGAGGGGATCCTTGAAGAGAATGGGTCTGTACAGATCAGACTAGGTGAAGACAGCAGTCCCCCGTTGCAGAGCCCTGGTCACACCCTGGAAATGAACCATCTTAATAAATGGAGCACATACCTGGGGTATCTGGTCTATGCTAAACAGCCTGGGGAGCTTCAGGCTTAGCATCTTGGAGCTGGATTGGACAGGCCAGTGGGTGACAGCACCTCCCTGTTACCAGGCCTCACTCAAAGAGCTGTCATGGCCTGGGGGTGTCTCTGCCTAGTTGGTGCTGTGCTGCTTCCCTGAAAGAGGACAGCATGAAGAAATCAGTCAGTTTCAGCCTAACTCCAGCTGGAGCGGGACAGTCAGCTTGTTTAACTATTGAACATATGCTCGCTACATATACATGATGGCACAAGATCAAGCTTCCTTAAAAACAGCAAAACGATCAGACTGCAGAGTCATCCACTCCAAGAGTGCTGGACGGAGGTAATTAAATAATAATATGGGTGATTATCATGGCCTGAATGTTTGTGTCTCCCCAAAATTCATATGTCAAAACCTAATCTCTAATGTGGTGATAAGGAGCAGGGCTTTTGGGAAGTGACTAGGTCACAGAGACTCTGCCCTTATAAGTGGGATTGGGGCTCATATAAAAGAGGTCTGACGGAGCTTGTTCATTCCTTTCTCCATGTGAGGACACACAGAGGGAGACATCTCTGAGGAATGGGCCCTCAGCAGACCGGGAATCTGCTGGCACCATGACCTTGGACCTCCCAGCCTCCCCCAGAGCTATTACCAATACATTTCTGTCGTTTATAAATTCCCCAGTCTCAGGTATTTTGTGATAGCATGCCAGATGAACTAAGACAGTTATCATAAAATTGCAGAGCTAAGGCCAGATTTGGTGGCTCATGCCTGTAATTGCAGAAATTTGGGAGACTGAAGTGGGAGGATCAGTTGAACTCCAGAGTTCAAGACCAGCCTGGGCAATATAGTGAGACCTTGTTTCTACAAAAAAAATTTAAAAATTGGCTGGACATGGTGTTGTAGTCCCAGCTACTCAAGGGTGGACTGAAGTGGGATCACTTGAGCTCAGGAAGTCAAGGCTGCACTTCAGCCTGGGCAACACGGCAAGACTCTGTCTCAAAAAAAAAAAAAAAAATGCAGAGCTGGAAAGGGCCTCAGAGGTCACCCAGTCTTGTCATGTTACACATGAAGGTGGGAAGGGTGGAGTAACTTTCCCAAGGCTGCACCACGGTGGGAGAGCTGGGCTGCTCACCCTCCACTCTACCAGAGGCTGCCCCTGGACAGAGAGTGGGATCTTAAGTCTGTATCCAGCCAGTGGGCAGAAGAGGACCAGGAGCTGGCCCAGATCATAGAAAGAGAAGCAACTCTTCCAGAAAGCTGACTGGTGCTTGGTTGCCTTGAGACATACAAAAGAACCAAACCAAGCAAATAAATCCAAGGTACTCACTGGCATACTCTTTCCCTTCCCTTCCTCCCTTCCTCCCTCCCTCCCTCCTTCCTTCCCTCCCTCCCTCCCTTCTTCCCTTCCTTCCTTCCTTGCTTTCTTCTTGCTTTCTTTCTTTCTTGTGGTATGATCTCGGCTCCCTGCAACTTCCACCTCTCAGGTTCAAGAGATTCTCCCACCTCAGGCTCCCAAGTCGCTAGGGCTCTAGGTGCATACCATCATGACCAGCTAATTTTTGTAGTTTTTGGCAGAAATGAGGTTTCACCATGTTGGCCAGGCTGGTCTCTAAGTCCTGAGCTCAAGTGATCCACCCGCCTCCACCTTATGCAGGGATTACGGGCGTGAGCCACAGCACCCAGCCTCCACTCATAGTTCATAGAAATAAGTGTATTCAAAATCAACGAGAGGATCTTCACAACTACAGCCACTCTCGAGTCGCCTCAGTTTGCTTAAAAAATACTCTCACCACCAACACAGTTGTTTGAAGGCTGTACGTTTTAAAGTGGTGTTTAATGCTAATTGCTGAAAAGTGTGTCCCGAGTCACAGGTACTCCTTTGCTGTTATTATGCTGTCTGAAATTTGCTTTCAAATACACATAGATAGCACGATACGGAAATGTTAGTTTTAATACAGACCTCTGGTGGAGGGGGGGGTGGTTAGTTAGCATTTGAAAGACAAATCGTAAACTCACACACACATTCTGGAGAGTACAGCTTTGGGTCAGTTGGGGTTATTTTTAATCAACATCAGAGGGTTTGCTAATTAGCAGAGTGAATGCTGTTTCTTTGGAGGAATGAGTGGAATTAGAGATATGTGAATTAGTGAGAAGGTAACCTCTCTCTTGCGTGACAGCTATGGTATACCCCAAAGAGGCTGCTCCTCTGAATGAACCCAGATGAGCCCTTTAGGAAAGAGTCAATGGTTTGAATACAACTAGAAGTTCAGCTGAAGCATGCCACAAGACAGCTTTTCACATCAGCCACATGTTAACTTTCAAGCAAGTTATGCCTAAGAGTTCCTAAAAGAATAGCTTGCTGTAGCCGGGCTGGTGGCTCATACTTGTAATCTCAGCACTTTGGGAGCCCAAGGCAGGTGGATCGCTCAAGTCAAAGAGTTCAAGACCAGTCTGGGCAACATGGGCAACATGGTGAAACCCTGTCTCTACCAAATATACAAAAATAAGCCAGGCATGGTGGCATGTGCCTGTGGTCCCAGCTACTCAGGAGGAAGAGTAGCTTGCTGGGGTGTGCTAGGTCATTGTATTGTTTCTCTGCCTACTTGTGGGTGCCTGTAATCCAAGCTACTTGGGAGGCTGAGACTGGAGAATCACTTGAACCTGGGAGGTAGAGGTTGCAGTAAGCCGAGATTGTGCCACTGCACTCCAACCTGGTGACAGAACGAGATTCCATCTCAAAAAAATAAAAATAAATAAAATTTTTATAAACAGATATTCACGGTGGAACTCAGCCTGAAGCTTTCATTGTGCTGTGCCACCTGGTGCTGAGATCATGGGCACCCTTCTCGTTCTCAGGTAACTGCGGATACTAAACGAGCCTAGGACTGTATTTCAATCAACTTCAGACACTGCCTATCAGTTGGAAGTCATGCTGCTATTTTTGTGTACCACTAACACACACACACACACACACACACACACACACATACACACACACACAAATGCTGCTAATTTTATCATGAAGCACCATGATGGGAAATGAATCCTGATTTCAGAGCTGTTAAAATGTCACAAAAAAAGTGTATGTTGTAATTAGTTGATGAAATACAGTCATTGTGAATGAGCAATTGGCTTAGGTCCATCTGCAATGATTACTCTCTTTGTACTCACTACTCTGCTCTTTTCCTTTTTCTTTTCTTTCTTTCTTTCTTTTTTTTTTTTTTTTTTTTTTTTTTGTAGAGATAGGTTTTCTTTTGAACTTCCGACCTCAGGTGATCCACTCACCTCAGCCTCCCAAAGTGCTGAGATTACAGGTGTGAGCCACCGTACCCAGCGAACTCACTTTTTACAGGGATCTTTAAAGGCTCTTTTACCACAAAACCAAGACTTGCACCTGGAAGAACGTATTCCTGTAAATAAACCTCAATCTGTTTTACATTTTTTTGCCTCTATTTCTTTCCCTCTCTCTGGATTGTGCCAGGTGCTTTCTGAAAGGATCCCAAATAAGCATTCGCTGGGAAAGGCCAGAGTTACGCCGTGTTCCCCAGGCAGCCTATGATCCTAATAAAGGAACACAGCGACCCTCAGTATGAAAAACTCTGGATAGAGCCACCTGTAATGCCACTTCCTTGGTCCCCAAAAATATATTGGAAAACAAAATACTTAATGCATAGTTGGGCAACTCATAGCAAAGGCAAAGAATTCTGTTTGGTAGGAAGTTTCTCCATGCTTGCTCTACAATGGAAACATGAGACCCAGAAGCTCCTGAGAAGTCATCCAGTTTAGATCATCACTGTATGTCTGGATTATGTTGAAGGCATTTCAGACAAGTGGTCATACATTTGACCCAAAGAAGCAAGGGTAACAGAGGGGTTTCAGGTTTTGTGAGAAGGCAGCGAGGAGATGTCGGGAGAAGGAAGCCAGCATCACCATTCTGCTCACCCTCGGAGTGGTCTGAACACCTCCTGTGTATGGCAGGAGGAGCTGGCTTCTTTAGCCAGTGCTGTGAGGTGCGGGGTCGAAGCATGGCTGGAGAAGAACAGAGGGAGAGGTGAAGGGGAGGTCCTGCCTTCAGGCAGACACTGGGTGGCTGAGCCACGCTTCTGATCCTCTCTCTCCCATGGGACTCCTGTCTAACCTCCTTTATGTGGACAGAAAACAGCACAGAGCCCAAGAAGTGACCCAGGCAGAGTCTTGATCCCATCACTGTACCAGAAGGCCCTGGCAGTCCTCACCACCACTAAGGACTGAATTGCACCCTGGGGAAGGATGGAGGGAGACAGAGCCCAGGAGCAGGGTTCCCAGCCGCTTGCAGACTTCTGTTCTACCTTAAAACATGTGATCAAAATGAAAAACCTGTATACATCAAAGCATACTATCAAGAGAGTGAAAACACAGCCCATGGCATGGGAGATTTGCAAATCAGACGTCTATAAGATACTAATATCCAGAATGTATAAAGAATGTCCAGAACTTGGCCAGGCACGGTGGCTCACACCTATGATCCCAGCACTTTGGGAGGAAGAGGCAGGCCGATCACAAGGTCACGAGATTGAGACCAGCCTGGCCAACATGGTGAAACCCCATCTCTACTAAAAATACCCCGTCTCTACTAAAAATACAAAATTAGCCAGGTGTGGTGGTGCGTGCCTGTAATCCCAGCTGCTCAGGAGGCTGAGGCAGGAGAATCGCTTGAACCCAGGAGGCAGAAGTTGCAGTGAGTCAAGATCGCACTACTGTACTCCAGCCTGGGTAACAAGAATGAAACTCCGTGTCAAAAAAAAAAAAAAAGAATTCCCAGAACTTGACAAAAAAATTCCAAACAAGCCAATTCAAAAATCGGTGAATGGTTTGAACAGATACGTCTTCCAAAATATACAAACAGCCAATACAAAAGAAAAAAACAAAATCACCAATAGGCACATGAAAAGATTCTCAGCACCGCTAGTCATTAGGGAAGCGCAATTCTAAACCATAATGGGACAGCGCTTCCTAGCCATTAGGATGGCTACTATCAAAAAACAAAACAAACAAAAACACAGAAGGTAAGTACTGGCAGGGGTGTGGAGAAACGGAAACTCATGCATTTCTGGTGGGACTGTAAAACGGTGCAACAGCTATGGAAAATAGCATGCCAGTTTCTCAAAAAGTTAAACAGAACTACCATACAATCCAGCAATTTCACTTCTAGGCACATACGCAAAAGAAGTGAAAGGGGCTGAAACCAATTTTTTTTCTTGACAGGGTCTCACTTTGTCACCCAGGCTAGCGTGCTTCACCGCAGCCTTGACCTCCTGGGATTAAGTGATCCTCCCACCTCAGCCTCCCAAGTAGCTGGGGCCATAGATGGACACCACCACACTGTCTAATTTTTGTATTTTTTGTAGAGATGGGGTCTCCCTATATCGTCTAGCCTGGTCTCGAACTCCTGGGCTCAAGTGATCCTCCTACCTTGGCCTCCTAAAGTACTGGGATTACAGGCATGAGCCACCATGCACAGCCTGAAGCAGGTATTTCTAAACCAATTTTCCTTTTTTTTTTTTTTTTGAGATGGGAGTTTTGCTCTTGTTACCCAGGCTGGAGTGCAATGGTGCGATCTCGGCTCACCGCAACCTCCGCCTCCTGGGTTCAGGCAATTCTCCTGCCTCAGCCTCCTGAGTAGCTGGGATTACAGGCACGCGCCACCATGCCCAGCTAATTTTTTGTATTTTTAGTAGAGACGGGGTTTCACCATGTTGACCAGGATGGTCTCAATCTCTTGACCTCATGATCCACCCGCCTCGGCCTCCAAAGTGCTGGGATTACAGGCGTGAGCCACCGCACCAGGCCTCTAAATCAATTTTCATAGCAGCATCATTCATAACAACCAAAAGGTGGAAGCCCAGATACTCAGGTGAATCAGCAGGTGAATGGATAAACAAAATGTGGTATATCCATACAACGAAATATCACTCGGTCTGAAGAAACAATGAAAGGCCCCATGTGGTGGTTCATGCCTGTAATCTCAGCTACTCTGGAGGCTGAGGTGGGAGGACTGCTTGAGCCCCGGAGTTCAAGGCCACTGTGAGCTGTGATCACGTCATTGCACTCCAGCCTGAGCAACAGAGCAAGATCCTGTTTCAAAAAATAAAAAGGAATAGAATTCGAACACATGTTTCAACATGGTTGAGGCTTGAAAAAATTAAATGAAACAAGCCAGACAACACAAAGCGAGAAATATATGATCCATTAAGATGAGGTGCCTAGAACAGGTAAATTTATAGAGACATGTATGTAAAGACAGCCTGGCGGGGGGCCAGCAGGATGGGCAGGGGATGGGGAATTAGTGTTTAAGGGATATGTGGTTTCTATTTGGGAAGATGAGAAAGTTGTGGAGATAGGAGTTTCTCGTAGCCGCTCAATGCCAATGAATTATACATTTTTAAGTGCTTAGAATGACCAATTTTATGTTTTGTATATTTTACAACAATAAAAAAGTATCATAAAAAAGCATGTGCTTTTTGTAGTCTGCTTCATGATTTATAGTTGTTTTAATACAAAAATTTATTTTCTCCAAATCTTCCAGAAAAAAATACATATTATATACATCTTGTTGCTGCAAACCGCACCCCCTCGGCTATTTTGAGAAGCACGGACTAGCTCAACCCACCCCACCCTTTTTCCTTTTTTTTTTTTTTTTTTTTTTTTTAGATGGAGTCTTGATCTCTTGCCAGACTGGAGTGCAGTGGTGCTATCTTGGCTCACTGCAACCTCCATCTTGTGGGTTCAAGGGATTCTTCTATCTTTATGCACCACCACGCCCGGCTAATTTTTGTATTTTTAGTAGAAACGGGGTTTCACCATGTTGGCCAGGGTGGTCTCGATCTCCTGACCTCATGATCTACCTGCCTTGGACTCCCAAAGTTCTGGAATTACAGGTGTGAGCCACCGTGCCTGGCCTCTTCTTCTCCTGAGAACCTCAGATAGGAAATGGCTTGTCTGAGGTCACACAGTGAGGACCTGGCAAAGTCAAAATTAAATAAGGACTCTAACGAACAGTGGGAACATGTACATGGGCATAGACTCGAGTCAGAAGGACCAAGAAGCTCATCCAGCCTTGCCAATGCCTGAATTCACCACAGAGAGAAAAGGACCAATTCACAGGACAGGGAGCTGGAGGGCAGCTGAGGTCACCCATCAGCGGCGTGATACACGCCCGAACTTCAGCTTCCCTGCAGCGTGTGTCAAATACCCACCTCAGCAAGATTATAAACAACTCCCAAGTAGCTTGCCATTCATTAAAACCATGATTATGTCTGCTCACACAGTGCTTTCCAGACTGCAGGTCACAACCTCCGTGGATCGTGAAATCTATTCAGTGAGTCACGACTAACATTTAAAGATAGAATCATATAGAAAAGAATAGACAGAAAATACCACTGCATTGCAGAGTAAAGGTAAGTACTGTTTTGTGATATTTGTTCTATGTGCTACAGCTATCGGTTGCTATGTCATATATGACTGTATGCCAGCTACTGAGTTACAGCATTGAGCAATTTCCATTGCTGTCCCCAGAAGGAACCTAGAGAAGCCAATCTCCAGCTTGCACAGGATTTTAACTGCTTGAGAAAAAATATTTAGGACTAACTATGACATGAACCCCCAAATTCCTGTCCTCTGGATGGCAGAAATCAAGAGAACATATCCTCACATAGTCACAAGGTGAAGCTCTTAAGGACACAAAACAAGACAGAAATTTCATCTGGTATTGGTTTCAGGGACCCGCAGCAAAGTTTGTAACTGACCAGCCTGGCAGGCTGGCTTGAGAAGTGGGCTTATAGGGGTCCTAAAGCCACATGCTATCCTGTGATGCCCCTCTCTTCATCATAGAACACAGAGAGACATTCTTAGCACTAAGTACGGCAGATCTGCTACAGCCTAAGATTGGTCTCACAAATCCTTTTTTCTACTAATCAAACCCTTGCAGAGGAGATCAATAGTTTACCATTTTACACAGACAGAGAAATAGAGAGAGACCAGAAACTTGTCTGGTAAGAGTTTCTTACCCTTTTTGCTGGCATTCCAGGTTTCTGGGTTCCCTTTCTCTTCAACTTCCAGAAGAATGAAGCGGCTTACGATGGCCTGGCTCACTTGGGCTATAGCTGTGGGGTTCAAGCCATATCACAAGAGAAAATCACCCTTTACTGTTTTATGGAACCATAGGCAAGATTCTTAATTTGCAAACTGCTGCCCAACAGGTTGCATTAATATTTTCCATCCCAGCAAAATGCATATAACAAAACAGATATTAGTCACCTCATTCAGCACCCAATATCAGCCTGGAAAAGCTCAAACTTTTCCCCATTCGTCCCTGTTTTTGATCCACTCCAGGTGGGGAGGGGTCTCTGGACAAGGTGAAGAGCAGATAGTCACCCTGAGACACAGGCCTGTTGAGCTTTCTTTCTTTTTTTTTTTTTTTTTTTTTTTGAGACGGAGTTTCGCTCTTGTTACCCAGGCTGGAATGCAATGGCGCGATCTCGGCTCACCGCAACCTCCACCTCCTGGGTTCAGGCAATTCTCCTGCCTCAGCCTCCTGAGTAGCTGGGATTACAGGCACGTGCCACCAGGCCCAGCTAGTTTTTTGTATTTTTAGTAGAGACGGGGTTTCACCATGTTGACCAGGATGGTCTCGATCTCTCGACCTCGTGATCCACCCGCCTCAGCCTCCCAAAGTGCTGGGATTACAGGCTTGAGCCACTGCGCCCGGCCGAGCTTTCTTTAGGGAATATTGAATATGACTAGACAAATAAGAGGGTTCTCTGAGTTAGACCTGCTGGACTTCCATCAGCAAGCCCTCCTGAGATCCCATCCACATATACAAACACACACAAAGAGGAGACAGACAGAAGGCCTTCCAAGTCAGATCCCTAACCGAGAACTCCAAGAGCAGCCCTTCCAAACTATCCTCCTATTCTCCATCTGAGAAACCTCTACAAAATCTTCCTGATTGAGGATAAGTCTTGCAAACCAGGACTCTTCCTACCAGTTAGAAAGAGCCAACCAAGACCCCACCAGGAGCTGAACAGACACCCCACAATGGGGCTGCAGACACAGACATTCCGCAATGGGACTACAGACACCACACCATAGGGCTACAGAACCAGTCGAGAGAAGGGAGGAGGTGTTGACGGCGCTTAGGACACTCACCAGTCCAGACATCCCGCAATGGGGCTACACAGACACCCTGTGATAGAGCTACAGTTACGTCTCCCCAGGACACTTTCTCCATTGCAAGTAAATCCATGCACATTGGGTTGGCAGCACCCCGCCAGTAGAGGGAGTGCCAGAGTCAGTCCCCAGTCCAAGAGAGCTGGGCAGCCATCGGGACTGGTTTCTGGATCCATCATTGGAAGGGAGACACTGAAACAAAGGCAATCCTGGATGAGCCCCCACATTTGTAAACGCCCAAGAAGTTCACCTTGCCTGCTGCCTAAACAGAGACGATTCATCAAGACGGGAGTTGCAGTAGAGAAAGAGAAAGAGTAATTCTCTCAGAGCCTGCCGTGTGGGAGACTAGAGTTTTGCTGTTACTGACATAAGTGTCCCCAAGCATTTGGGGAGCAGAGTTGTTGGCTCTTTTTTTGTTTTTTTTTTTTGAGACAGAGTCTTGCTCTTGTTGTCCAGGCTGGAGTGCAGCGGCGCCATCGCGGCTCACTGCAACCTCCGCCTCCCGAGTTCAAGCAATTCTCCTGCCTTAGCCTCCAAAGTAGGTGGGATTACAGGCGCATGCCACCACATCTGGCTAATTTTTGTAGTTTTAGTAGAGTTGGGGTTTTACTATGTTGGCCAGGTTGGTCTCGAGCTCCTGACCTCAGATGATCTGCCCACCTCAGCCTCCCAAAGTGCTGGGATTACAGACATGAGCCACTGTGGCCGGCTGGGGAGCAGAGTTTTTAACGGATAACTTGGTGGGTTGTGGGGGTAACCAGTGAGCCAGGAGCGCTGGTCAGGGATGAAATCATTGGGAGTAGAAGCTGTCTTCTTATACTGAATCAGTTCCTCGGGTGGGGACCACAAGATCAGATGAGCCAGTCTATTGATGTGGGTGATGCCAGCTGATCCATCAAGTTCAGGGGCTGCAAAATATCTCAAGCCCGGATCTTAGGAGGAGTTTAGGGAGGGTCAGAATCTTGTGGCCTCCAGCTGCATGACTCCTAAACCATCATTTCTAATCCCATGGCTAATGTTAGTTTAGTCCCCAGGCGAGAAGGAGGTCTGCTTTGCGAAAAGGCTCTTACCACTTTTGTTTAAACTATAAACTACAAACCAAGTTTCTCCCAAAGTTCAGCCTACACCCAGGAATGAACAAAGACAGCTTGGAGGTTAGAAGCAAGATGGAGTCCATTAAGTTAGATCTCTTTCACTGTCTCAGTCATAATTTTGCAAAGGTGGTTTCACTAACATTCCCTGATGTATTACAAGTACCCAGGACCCCCTGAGCTTGGAGAATGTTCTATGAAAATGGGGAGAGGCACACAGAGCTTGGGATTTTGGATCACTGAGGTCAGGTCTCCCCTCTTCCATCTCCTAGGTTTGAATTTGACTGGGCTTTTTCCAAACGGCTTCCATTTTTGTCATCTGTGAAATAAGAATATTAATACTTCCCTGGCCACGGTTATGGGGGAGCTAAAATGAAACAATAATAGATGCGAGCAAACTTTATTAACTACAAAACACTGAATCAATGCCATTGGTATTTACCGTTATGGCTACTGTTGTGGCTACTATTACTGTAAAGAACACATTCAGAAGAGTGAGCTGTCCGCTGCAAAAACTCTTAAGATGATTTAAAAAACAAAAATTGAGGCTGTTCACGGTGGCTCATGTCTGTAATCCTAGCAACCTTGGGAGGCCGAGACAGGCAGATTGCCTGAGCTCAGTTCAAGACCAGCCTGGGCAACATGGTGAAACCCTGTCTCTACTAAAATACAAAAAATTAGCCGTGCATGGTGGCGTCTACCTGTAGTCCCAGCCACTTGGGTGGCTGAGGCACAAGAATTGCTTGAACCTGGGAGGCAGAGGTTGCAATGAGCTGAGATTGCACCACTGGACTCCAGCTTGGGTGAGAGAGTGAGACTCAGTCTCAAAGAAAAAAAAAAACTTAGATAAAATACACATATATAATTTACCATCTAGTTTAGTGATTGGAAATACATTTATATTCTTTTTTCTCCCCTTCATCTCCCACCTCCTTTCCGGCCTCTGGTAACCACCAACCTACTCTCTATCTTCAAGGATGGGGGTTTTTAACCTGGGGTCCGTGGAAATTCATGAATGGGCCTTAGGGAGTTCATCAAATTATAGGTTAAATTATGTGTGGGTGGGTGCATATATATGTATGTGTGAGTGTGCGTGTGTGTGTGTCAGTGGGGACAGGGGCCATGGCTTTCAACAAAGCTTCAGTGGCATCTGTGAGCCAGGAAAGGTTCAGAACCACCAGCCCCCGACTGTGCCTGGTGGTCAAGGGCAAAGCCACATTCCCAGGGTAACCCAGCATCCAGACCAAATCCCCAATCCAGGGCAGAAGTCATTGGCGTGGCTCCAAGTGGTGGGATAGATTCATGCTACCAGTCAGTGAACGAAGGGAGTGTCACTTCACAGAAACCTGTTTCTGCCTGGCCGCCCCACCCTGGAAACTGGAAACTGGTCTGGTGGCTGGGAGAAGCATCCCTCAGCAGGCGTGCTCTAGGGAGAAGCGGCTCTGCCCACTGAACTGGCCTTGCCCTCCGACGTGGGTCAAGTCCACACCCAAAGCAACCAGCCCACAATGGAGGCAATGGGCCTGATTCTCATCTGTAGACCCAGGGGGAGGGGTGACAGAGGCAAAGGCAATGGGAGCCCTAAGGAAGGGTGGCCAGCCATGTCTGGTGGTTACCAGCCATGTCACTGTGGGCCACTCAGGGTAAGCACAGGCTGGGATAATGCCCATACCCACCCTCATCCCCTACAACTCCCTGGGAGTCTCTCCAGGCTGGCTAGGCTGCAGGCCTGTCCCCAAGCCTTGAATCCCCTCTAGCTGGCCACTTGCCTGGCAGCCTTTCAGACACAGCCCATAGTTGGCCTCCTCCAGGAGGGACGCCGGCTCCAGCAACTCCTCTCCTGCTGCTCTCCTCCTCCCTGCACCCTCTAGCTGTAAGGAAGTGGCTGAGAGAAGACTTCAGGGTCACCCTGATCTGGGTTTCAGACCCAGCTTTTCTACTCACTGACCGGTGCTTTTGAACATGTTGCTTAACTTTCTCAGTCTTGGTCTTAGCTTTCTCAGCCTCTCTGTCCTTAGCTTGTAAACTGCATGAAGATTTAAATGAAATAATGTACATAAGGTTCTTTGCGTGGAGTGTGGCTGACAGCGAATAGCTCAATCAAAGGTCATTATTATTATTAGCTTGATTTATATCATTCTCTGATTCTTTTAGGTGTGGTCATTTTGGTAGCCACAATTTAGATTCCTGAAAGACAGGACCTGGATCTATTTTCATTATAGAAGAAGAGACTTCACTGTGGCTCACACCTGTAATCCCAGCACTTTGAGAAGCCGAGGTGGGCAGATCACCTGATGTCAGGAGTTCGAGACCAGCCTAGCCAACATAGCAAAACCTGTCTCTACTAAAAATACAAAAATTAGCCCAGGCGAAGTGACTCACTCCTGTAATCCCAGCACTTTGGGAGGCCAAGGCCAGCGGATCATCTGAGATCGGGAATTTGAGACCGGCCTGGCCACCATGGTAAAACACCGTTCTACTAAATATACAACAAATTGGCCAGGTGTGATAGCAAGAGCCTGTAATCCCAGCTACTTGGAAGGCTGAGGCAGAAGAATCACTTGACCCCAGGAGGTGGAGGCTGCAGTGAGCTGAGACTGCACCACTGCACTCCAGCCTGGGCAACAGAGTGAGGCTTCATCTAAAAAAAAAAATAAAAGACAGAATCAATGGGAAGTGTTGGCTGTTTTACTCAAAGACTGGCTATTCATTCATCTGTCCGTCCACTCCCCAACTCATCCACGCAGTGCATGAGCTCTGTGCCAGGCACTCTGCTGATAGCTAAGGACCCAGGGGAATGACCACAGCCTGAGCCTTGGAGGAGCTCCCTGCAGAACAGGGGAGACACGCAAACTGCTGAGCCCACGTGCTAGGGGCTGTGTGGATGGTGGAGACAAGGGGCAGTGGAAACAGCCGGGCAGGAGCACCTTCACATGTGGGGGAAGCAGGCTTAGGGTCATTTACAGAGGAGATGGAGGGTGAATGGAGCATAAGAGAGCAGGAAGAATCTGTCAGCATGGGAAGGGAGAGGGCATGGCACGCTGGCAGAGGGGACAGCTTACTTGAGAAAAGGCACAGAGGCATGACTGTGTGGGGCATGTCACGGGAACAGCTAGTCACCCCTTTGGGTCCCTTTAGCAGACTGGAAGGTATGTGTCCTCTTCTGGCTATGGCGAGGGCAGAGCTGGGTGAGCTGTGGGTGGGAGAGAGAGCCCAGGCTGCCTTGGGGGACTGGGAGGACCGCCCCACTAAGGAGGAGGGGTTTTGCATTTGTTTTCCTTCTCAAACTCACTTTCCTGAAGGAGGCCGCTGCTGGGGACGCTGCTGGGGACACGCAGGGGCGGGGGAAGGTGGAGTACGTGGCCCCACCCCATCCCTTTCACTTCCTTCTCCCTGTCCTGCCCTACCGGCTGCTACCCAGTCTACACTCACAGCTTGCCAGCCACACCCTGGGCTTTCTCTCGGCTCTGCTTGGGGAGCAAGCCCGGGCCCCACACGGGGCACCGCCTCTTACAGGCCATTCATCAAGAAGGCGGGGGGGGGTGCCGGCAGGACTGTCTCCATCCAGGAAGGCTGCAAGAGGCAGAGAGTGCCCTGGCTTCTGAGGTTTACTGGCCGCAGACCTGCTCTGGGGCTTTGGGTACACTCCCCTCCCCTCTCTGGGCCTCATTGTTTCTACCGGGAGAAGGAGGGCCCTGGACCACATGAGTCTGAGACCCTGGCTTAGGCATTCTATGGGGCAGGTCCCAAGGATTCGAGCATCCTCCCCCTCAAAGCTGTTTGTCCTCACCTCTCCTCTCTAAAACTGTTGTCGCTGGAACACCTCCTCTCTCCTCCCTGCAGTCACTGCCACTGGAGATGTGCCCAAGTCTCCATCCCTTGACACATGCTTTCTCTCTCTCTGTTGTCAGCAGGACCTGACACATCTTCCTGGAAGCCTCAGAGCCAACACACCTGCAGGCATTTGCTCGATAGGCCTGCAGGTGCATCTCAAAAGCACCCTAGGCATTGGGGAGACTGAGACTTCTAATTTAAACCTCCAAGTGCCTCCAGGAGCTTGGAGTTTGGTAGAAAGATGACGGAGATGAAAAACTGACCATGTGTAGGGACAGGAAGTTCTCAGGAGTGGAGAGAGGGGAGAAGAGCTGAATACTGTGGGGCAGATACAGTAAGAAGGAGGGGCACACTAGGATGAAAGGGTGTAGAAAGCAGAGACTTCGAATGACTGAAATATTTAAACAATAATCTGCATGGATTGAGCACAGTGGCTCACACCTGTAAGTACTTCGGGAGGCTAAGATCGGAAAGATCTTTCGGCTTAAGGCGGAAAGATCACTTGAGTCCAGGAGTTCAAGACCAGCCTGGGCAACATAGTGAGACCTCCCCCGCACCATCTCTACAAAAAAAAAAAAAAAGAAATTAAGAAATTAGCCAAGCGGGGTTGTGCATGCCTGTAGTCCCAGCTACGAGGGAGGCAGAGGCAGGAGAACCACATGACCTGAGGTCGAGGTTGCAGTGAGCCATTTTAATGCCACTGCACACAAGCCCAGGCAACAGAGTGACACCTTGTCTAAATTAAAAAATAATAATAATAACAAAAAATAAAAAACCATCATGATACTGTGATGGTGGAAACATGACATTAAGCATTTGTCAAAGCCCACAGAAGGCACAACACAAGGTGTGAGCCCTAATGTAAACGAGGGACAACAGTTAATAACATTGTGCCCATGTCGGTTCATCAGTTTTAACAAACATACTACACTAATGCAAATGTGAATAACAGGGGGTGGGGAGGGAGGGAACGGAAACCGTACCTTCTGCGCAATTTTTCTATAAACCTCTATCTGCTGTAAAATATAAAATCTATTAAGAAAACAAAAGGCTAGGTGCGGTGACTCATGCCTATAATCCCAGCACTTTTCAAGGCCAAGGCAGGTGGATCACCTGAGGTCAGGCATTCAAGACCAGCCTGGCCAAAAAGGCAAAACCCCATCTGTACTAAAAATACAAAACTTAGCCAGGCGTGGTGGCAGGCACCTGTAATCCCAGCTACTTGAGCGGCTGAGACAGGGAGAATAGCTTGAGCTCGGGAGGTGGAGGTTGCAGTGACTCAACAGAACAAGATTCTGTCTCAAAAAAAAAAAAAAAAGAAAAAGAATTGGATGTTATTAAACAAACCAAGAGCTGTCAACATAAAAACCTGGGCTCCCAGTTTCTTTTGATGAATCTGAAGATCTACACCCCTGGGCCGAATTTGCACATGGAGAGAACAGGCTGCAGCTCAGGAGACGCAGCTCCTTCGCATGGGTACTCACCCTTAGGTTTGCTGAGGCTTCACTGCTCCTGCCAGGCTTGGCTGGGAGCTTTGGGGAGTTTGGAGACCTGGAGATAAAAGTCAGGTGTCTGATCACGAAGAAACAGACAGGCAAATTTGGCTGGGGTCTTCGGAGTACTATTTCCCAGGTGCTGGAAAATGATGATTTCAAATGGGAAATGATGAACGTGAAGAAAACCAGGGCAGTTTTCAGACAAATTGAGTTTGATTTGCACGTATTTGCAGTTTAAAAGGATATGTGATTGCATCTTGGAGGAGATGTTGAAGCTGCAGATAAATTTCAAAGGGAGAGAAAAGTGACTTTGAAAGACCGGGGAATACTTGAGGCCCCACAAAGGAGAAGAACACAGACAGGTGAGCGCAAGGGAAAAAGCCAGGTTCACAGGATGATGTGGTAGGGGTGATGATAAGCAATTCACCCAGCATCTTAGTTTCCCGGCAAATGGCTGTGAGTAGAAACTGTGGTGGGAGGAGACGTAGATGAGGGTTAAGGAGACCAGGGGGCGGGGCAGGTGTCTGGGGAGTGGTCAGGAACCAGCCAGGTGAAAGACAGGAGAACTTGGTAGGCTGCTTGGGTTAACGTAGTCCCTGAGTTCACCCTGCCCTTGGGCTGGTAGCAGAAATGAAGAGTGGGCAGGAATATGCTTGATCATTCATTCATTCAGCACACATTTCCTGAATACCTACTCTATGTCCAAAGCTATGGTAGGAAAGATATGAGGACGAAGAAGCAGACACAACAGTTCTGTCCCCTAAGAGATCACATTCTAGTGTAGATCCGCGCTAACAATTGCCACATGGCACACCTCGTGGTAAAACAGTGGTTCCTGCAGACTCACTACGCACCTGGCTGCAGCCCCCGGGTGGGCGCTTGTTCCCTCTGCCAGAGAAACAAACATTCCTTATAGTCCTATGGTGCTGTGGCCACCTGACCTATTAGGGCAATGCAGCTGACTGGAGATAAAGAGCGCTTACAGAAATAATGGTTATGCCTCTAGGGGAACACTGAGGAGGGCCTTATGCTAGGAAGTCAGGGGGAGACATCTTAAAGAAACGAAGCTTTGGACGGGGCACGGTGGCTCACACCTATAATCCCAGCACTTCGGGAGGATGAGGTGGGTGAATCACCTGAGGTCAGGAGTTTAAGACCAGCCTGGCCAACATGGTGAAACCCCATCTCTACCAAAAATACAAAAATTAGCCAGGCATGGTGGCAGCCGACTATAATCCCAGCTACTTAGGAGGCTGAGGCAGGAGAATCACTTGAAACAGGGAGGAGGAGGTTGCAGCGAGCCGAGATTGCCCCGCTGCACTCCAGCCTGTGCGACAGAGCAAGACTCCATTAAAAGAAAAGAAAAGAAAAGAAAAGAAATGAAGCTTGGGATAAGTCTAAAGAGTCAACAGGAGTGTAGCAGCCATGGGGGGGGGGGAGCGGAGGGTACAGCAGGACAGGGGCATGGAGGTAGGAAGAGGGTGTGCAATGTCTGCAGTTCAGCACAGAAGTGGTGCAGGGGATGCAGTAGCAGGTGGCCAGAGGGGAGCCCATGAAAGAATGAGGAATGGTGTGAGCCGCATAGAGGCTAACCCCAATTGTGGTGGTAAGGAGAATGCTGAGGAATGAATGCAGACTAATTTCAAATCCTGGCTCCATCATCTACTGTGTGCCCTTGGACAGATTCCTTAATCTCTGATTTTCTCATCACTTAAATGAGAATCATAAAAGTTTCATCGGCTCTGGTGAGGATGAAAAACCATGGTATCTATCAGATGATAAGGACTCAATAAAGGGTTATTATCACCATTGCATTTTAGGCGGTCTCAGGTTCGCATTAATGCTCTTTCCTGTGCCTTCTGCCCTTGGCTTATAAGACTGCTTGAAAACAGACTGTTTCCCCTCCAGCTCTGACCCACCTCCCTGGCTGGAGCCGTGGCAAATTGGGCGCTCCCTGTGTGAGGATGGCAGGGGGTTGCCATGGTGACCTCCCAGCTTGGCTTAGGACTTGAGTATACTGAGCCTTTTTTTCTTTCTTTTCTTTTCTTTTTTTTAAGCCCTAGCTATCCCAGCTATTCTAAATATTTACTGTGAGGCGATTATTACATATCTGAAAAAGCTGAATAATATTCCCTAGCACATTGCAGAGAAAAATAGAAAACAATCCAAATTTCTGGCAACAAAGAACTGGCTGGGTAACTTACGGCACATCCATGCAAAACTGCACCGTGGGGCTGTTAAAGATGTACAGATCTGTGGTAACTGACAGGAAACGGCATCATGACAAGTTGTTAAATGAAAAACAGCAGGTTACAGAACAGCCTAAATCTCGTAATACCATCTCTATTAAATGATGCTACATTTAACTGCTTTGTATTTATGAACAGAATAAGGTTTAGAAGGCCGTTTGCTGTGGCTCTCTCTAGATGGTAGTGGTGGCTCAGCAAATCTAGGGATTTGCTTTTCTCTTTCTACTTTTCTGTAACAACAGAGTTTGCCCACAATGAACATGGGTATTCTTTTTTCTTTTTCTTTCTTTCTTTTTCTTTTAACCCAATGCTATTAGAAGAAAATAAATGAATGAGTCCTCTAACTCCTCGCCAATCTTAAAGGGATTGTGTCAGCCAGCCCTTGGGTTACAAATGCTGGCATTTGCTGGTACACCCACCCGAGAAGGTCACAGGTGAGCCTTACTCTGTGTGTCCTCATCCTGCCTGCTGGCCCAGGAGCACCACTGGTCTAGTGGCATCCCATCCAGGGCAGCTGGGGACCGAGTCCTAAAGCCTAACAGCTCATGCATTTGGAAAAGCCACCCAATTTCCCTGGCCAAAGGAGTAAAGAGGAGGCTCCCTTTCTCACCCCTATGGGTGAAGGTGGAGGCTGGTGGGAACACTCCCGCTGGGAGCACAGCAGAGGCCATCCGTTAGGAAACCTGTATCAAGCACTCACTGTTTGCCGGCCTCTGTGTTATCCCTGGAGACTCATGGAGATCCAGGCAGACTCTTGGCCTAGTGAACAGAGGGCTCCAGGAAGGACTTGTCTAAATCCTCCTCATTGTTCCTGCAAGGTTCTGTTCTCCTGCCCCATGGTCCACACTTTATGTTCAAACAAGAAAATAGTGCAGTCCCCAGCAGTAGGTCCTGGAAAGCCCCATTCCTTAGCACAGCCTCAAGCCCTCTGCAGTCTCCAGCCCCACTTCTCACCAGCCTTGCCACATGCCCACCCACTTCTCCTCCCCATCCTTAGTGCACCAGGAACCCACCCCCACGTGCTCATTGTGCTTGCTGTTTGCACTGGATAAGACATCTCTTCCTCCATCTTCTCTTCCTGATAACATTCCTCTCCTCCTCCTCCTTCTCCTCCTCCTCCTCCTCCTCCCCTTCTCTCCTCCTTCTCCTTTTCCTTCTCCTTCCTCCTCTTCTTCTCTTCTTCTCTCCTTCTCCTCCTCCTCTTATTCTTCTGATAGTCTCACTCTGTCAGCAAGCCTGGAGTGCAGCGGTGCAAACACAGTTCACTGCAGCCTCCGTCTCCTAGGCTGAAATGATCCTTTCACCACAGCCTTCCCCTCCTGAGTAGCTGGGACCACAGGCACACACCACCAGGCCTGGCTAGTTTTTATTTTATTTTATTTTATTTTTGAGACTGAGTCTCACTCTGTTGCCCAGGCTGAAGTGCAGTGGTGTGATCTCGGCTCACTGCAACCTCCACCTCTCGGGTTCAAGTGCTTCTCCTGCTTCAGCCTCCCAAGTAGCTGGGATTACAGGTGCCTGCTACTGTGCCCCACTCATTTTTGTGTTTTTAGTAGAGACAGAGTTTCACCATGTTAGCCATGGCTGGCCAGGCTTGTCTCAAACTCCTGACCTCACGTGATCCGCCCACCTTGGCCTCCTGAAGTCCTGGGATTACAGATGTGAGTCACTGCACTGGCCCTGGCTAGTTTTAATTTTTATTTTTTTATTTTTTTATTTTTATTTTTTAGAAATGGGGTCTCACTATGTTACCCAGGCTAGTCTTGAACTCCTGGGCTCAAGTGACCCTCCCACCTTGGCCTCCCAAAGTGCTGGGATGACAGGCATGAGCCACCAGTCTTCTTGACAAAATTCTACCTTTTCGTGTGGCTAAACACAAATGTCACTTGCTCTATAATGCTTTCTAGGGCAAAATTAGCTTCCACTCTTGTGGTCTCCACTGCAAGGGTATCTATCATTGTATCTGTAAACTTCAGTTAGATGCCAGTATCCTGGTTTCCATCAGGTCAAGACAGAGTGAGTCTGTCTTGGTCATGGCTGTGCCCATGTGCCCAGTCCAGGAACACTGCTCAGTGTTCAGTGTTCCGGTTCAGGGAATGAAGGTTTGCTGAGCCACTGAGTGACTTCTGCTGTCCTCTGCACTCTGAACCCTAGAGGCAGGGTCTGGCCCGGTTGACTGGCATCTTCCACCCAGTGGTTTCCATGCTGTGTTCATAAAAACTGCACTTTGGTGCCAAAACTATATATCTGTTTGGTGCAAAGATTTTTTTTTTTTTTTTTTTTTTTTGAGACAGAGTTTCACTCTTGTCACCCAGGCTGGAGTGCAATGGCACAATCTCTAGTCACTGCAACCTCCACCTCCTGAATTCAAGTGATTCTCCGGTCTCAGCTTCCCGAGTAGCTGGGATTACAGGCGCCCACCACCACACCCAGCTAATTTTTGTATTTTTAGTAGAGACAGGATTTCACCATGTTGGCCAGGCTGGTCTTGAACTCCTGACCTCAGGTGATCCACCTGCCTCGGCCCCCCAAAGTGCTGGGATTACAGGCACGAGCCACCACGCCCAGCCAAAAGATATTTATTTTAAAAGTTTAAACATCTGAAATCTCAAAAAAACTAATTTTAAAACAAAATGTTGGAGAAACTAGGAAAATGTGAACATTTGCTCTTTTATGATAATGAAGAACTATCAATTCTTAAGGTACTGTAATAGCACTGTGGTTATGTGTTTAATAAGGCCATTTTCCTTTAGAGACATATGCTGAAGTAATTGCAGATAAAATGATATGATATCTTAGACTGGCTGCAACAGAATCTGGTGGGGATCCAGGGGAATGGGTAAGAGTGTAGATGAAAATCATTAGCCATGAGTTGGTAATTGCTGGAGCCAGGCATGGAAGTTAATCATACTAATCTCTCCATCTCTGCATATGCTTTGAAAAGGAGACAATAACAATGTCAGAAAAAATCCTGAAGTATGAAATATGTCTTTTGAGTCCTACTCAGACGTTGCATGCCTACAGACAAAGCAAAACTCTGTTGCAAGAGTAATTATCACTCTATTCACAGACTTTCGTAACATGTGGGATATCAACAAGACAGTCTGAAACTGATACAGGAAGTCTGCATCCGAATCTCCATCTGAACAAGATAAAACCAAAGAACTTAAAGGCAAATCGGAAATGCTTTAGAAACAAAAACTGTGGCTCCTTAGAAATAAAAGACGGCAGTTTCTGAAAAAAAGCCAGAAGGCCTTGTCAGCGGAAAATATTCAAAGATATCACACAAATATATCTTCTCACTAGTCCCCAACTAGGGTAGAGTCAGGAAAAGTTTTTTCTAGAAAATTTTACAGGGAAAAAAACCGTGCTTGTGACATAATGATATTGCCAACATCCTTTGATCTTACATTTCTGCTTTAAAAGGATCACATAGTATCCCTCCTTGAACTTTCCATGACTAAATTTTTAGTTTTTGAGGTGGATAGGTTTTAATGTTTTGGATATTTCATTTTTGCTTATTTTATCTGCTACTTTGGATCAAAATGAGAATGCGTATTTTTCTAAGTCAACCTTTAATGCTATTCTAAAACATTTTTATATTTAAAGTTATTAAATATTTGGGTTTCCTGTTTTACATTTTTTAAATACCTATTTGTAAAATACTGATTTCAGCATTATATGATATGCATATTATTGGCCCTGGTGATCTTACCCCAGCATGGAA